ATAAAATCTTTAAAAAAAAAATCTTCCAGGACAAACAAAAACTAAAGGAATTTGCAAACATGAAACCAGCCCTCCAAGAAATATTGAAAGGGGTTCTCTAAGCAAAGAGAGAGCCTAAAAGCAGCATAGATCAGAAAGGAACACAGACAATATACAGTAACAGTCACCTTACAGGCAATACAATGGCACTAAATTCATACCTTTCAATAGTTACCCTGAATGTAAATGAGCTAAATGCCCCAATCAAAAGACACAGGCTATCAAATTGGATTAAAAAACAAGACCCATCGATTTGCTGTCTGCAAGAGACTCATTTTAGACCCAAAGACACCCCCACATTGAAAGTGAGGGTGTGGAAAACTATTTACCATGCTAATGGGCACCAAAAGAAAGCTGGGGTGGCAATCCTTATATCAGACAAATTAGATTTTAAAACAAAGACTGTAATAAGAGATGAAGAAGGACACTATATCCTACTTAAAGGGTCTATCCAACAAGAAGATCTAACAATTGTAAATATCTATGCCCCTAAGACGGGAGCAGCCAATTATATAAGGCAATTAATAACAAAGGCAAAGAAACACATTGACAACAATACAATAATAGTGGGGGACTTTAACACCCCCCCGACTAAAATGGACAGATGATCTAAGCAAAAGATCAACAAGGAAATAAAGACTTTAAATGACACACTGGACCAAATGGACTTCACAGACATATTCAGAATATTCCATCCCAAAGCAATGGAATACACATTCTTCTCTAGTGCCCATGGAACATTCTCCAGAATTGATCACATCCTAGGTCACAAATCAGGTCTCAACCGGTACCAAAAGATCGGAATTCTTCCCTGCATATTTTCAGACCACAATGCTTTGAAACTAGAACTCAATCACAAGAGGAAAGTCAGAAAGAACTCAAATACATGGAGGCTAAAGAGCATCCTACTAAAGAATGAATGGGTCAACCAGGAAATTAAAGAAGAATTAAAAAAATTCGTGGAAACCAGTGAAAATGAAAACACAACTGTTCAAAATCTGTGGGATGCAGCAAAGGCAGTCCTGAGAGGAAAGTATATAGCAATACAAGCCTTTCTCAAGAAACAAGAAAGGTCTCAAATACACAACCTAACCCTACACCTAAAGGAGCTAGAGAAAGAACAGCAAATAAAGCCTAAACCCAGCAGGAGAAGAGAAATAATAATGATCAGAGCAGAAATCAATGAACTAGAGACCAAAAGAATAGGAGAACAGATCAATGAAACTAGGAGCCGGTTCTTTGAAAGAATTAACAAGATTGATAAACCCCTGGCCAGACTTATCAAAAGGAAAAGAGAAATGACCCAAATCAACAAAATCATGAATGAACGGGGAGAGATCACAACCTGGTGCAAAGAAATACAAACAATTATAAGAACATATTCTGAGCAACTGTAGGCCAGCAAATTAGATAACCTGGAAGAAATGGGTGCATTCCTAGAGATGTATCAACTACCAAAATTGAACCAGGAAGAAATAGAAAACCTGAACAGACCTATAACCACTAAGGAAATTGAAGCAGTCATCAAAAAACTCCCAACAAACAAAAGCCCAGGGCCAGATGGCTTCCCAGGGGAATTCTATCAGACATTTAAAGAAGAATTAACACCTTAACAGTTTCTCCTGAAACTGTTCCAAAAAAATAGAAATGGAAGGAAAACTTCCAAACTTATTTTATGAGGCCACCATTACCTTGATTCCAAAACCAGACAAAGACCCCATCAAAAAAGAGAATTACAGACCAATGTCCTTGATGAACATGGATGCAAAAATTCTCACCAAAATACTAGCCAATAGGATCCAACAGTACATTAAAAGGATTATTCACGATGACTAAGTGGGATTTATCCCTGGGTTGCAAGGTAGGTTCAACATCAACAAATCAATCAACGTGATACAATACATTAACAAAAGAAAGAACAAGAATCATATGATCCTCTCAATAGATGCAGAAAAAGCATTTGACAAAGTACAGCATCCTTTCTTGATCAAAACTCCTCAGAGTATAGGGTTAGAGGGTACATACCTCAATATCATAAAAGCCATCTATGACAAACCTATAGCAAATATCATTCTCAATGGGGAAAAGCTGAGAGCTTTCCCCCTAAGGTCAGGAATGCGGCAGGGATGTCCACTATCAACACTGCTATTCAACATAGTACTAGAAGTCCTAGCCACAGCAATCAGACAACAAAAAGAAATCAAAGGCATCCAAATTGGCAAAGAGGAAGTCAAACGCTCACTCTTTGCAGATGATATGATACTGTATGTGGAAAACCTAAAAGACTCCACCCCAAAACTGCTAGAATTCATACAGGAATTCAGTCAAGTGGCAGGATATAAAATCAATGCACAGAAACCAGTGGCATTCCTATACACCAACATCAAGACAGAAGAGAGACAAATCAAGGAGTCGATCCCATTTACAATTGCACCCAAAACCATAAGATACCTAGCAATAAATCTAACCAAAGAGGCAAAGGATCTGTACTCAGAAAACTATAAAATACTCAGGAAAGAAATTGAAGAAGACACAAAGAAATGGAAAAACGTTCCATGCTCATGGACTGGAAGAACCAACATTGTGAAGATGTCAATGCTACCTAGAGGAATCTACACATCCAATGCAATCCCCATCAAAATACCATCCACTTTTTTTAGAGAAATGGAAAAAATAATCCTGAAATTTGTATGGAACCAGAAGATACTCCGAAGAGCCAGAGGAATATTGAAAAAGAAAAGCAAAGCTGGCGGCATCACAATTCCAGACTTCCAGCTCTATTACAAAGCTGTCATCATCAAGACAGTATGGTACTGGCACAAAAACAGACACATAGATCAATGGAACAGAATCGAGAGCCCAGAAATGGACCCTCAACTCTATGGCCAACTCATCTTTGACAAAGCAGGAAAGAACGTCCAATGGCAAAAAGACAGTCTCTTCAACAAATGGTGTTGGGAAAATTGGACAGCCACATGCAGAAGAATGAAACTGGACCATTTCCTTACACCACACACAAAAATAGACTCCAAATGGTTGAAAGACCTAAACGTGAGACGGGAGTCCATCAAAATCCTAAAGGAGAACACAGGCAGCAACCTCTTCGACCTCAGCCGCAGCAATTTCTTCCTAGAAACATCGCCAAAGGCACGGGAAGCAAGGGCAAAAATGAACTATTGGGATTTCATCAAGATAAAAAGCTTTTGCTGTGCAAAAGAAACAGTCCACAAAACCAAAAGACAACCGACAGAATGGGAGAAAATATTTGCAAATGACGTATCAGATAAAGGGCTAGTATCCAAAATCTATAAAGAACTTATCAAACTCAACACCCAAAGAACAAATAATCCAATCAAGAAATGGGCAGAAGACATGAACAGACATTTTTCCAAAGAAGACATCCAAATGGCCAACAGACACATGAAAAAGTGCTCAGCATCACTTGGCATCAGGGAAATCCAAATCAAAACCTCAATGAGATACCACCTCACACCAGTCAGAATGGCTAAAATTAACAAATCAGGAAACGACAGATGTTGGCGGGGATGTGGAGAAAGGGGAACCCTCCTACCCTATTGGTGGGAATGCAAGCCGGTACAACCACTCTGGAAAACAGTATGGAGGTTCCTCGAACAGTTGAAAATAGAGCTACCATATGATCCAGCAATTGCACTACTGGGTATTTACCACAAAGATACAAATGTAGGGATCCGAAGGGTTACGTGCACCCCAATGTTTATAGCAGCAATGTCCACAATAGCCAAACTGTGGAAAGAGCCAAGATGTCCATCGACAGATGAATGGATAAAGAAGAAGTGGTATATATACACAATGGAATATTATGCAGCCATCAAAAGGAATGAGATCTTGCCATTTGCAATGACGTGGATGGAACTGGAGGGTGTTATGCTGAGTGAAGTAAGTCAATCAGAGAAAGACATGTATCATATGACCTCACTGATATGAGGAATTCTTAATCTCAGGAAACAAACTGAGTGTTGCTGGAGTGGTGGGGATGTGGGGGGGAATGGGGTGGCTGGGTGATAGACATTGGGTAGGGTATGTGCTATGGTGAGCGCTGTGAATTGTGCAAGACTGTTGAATCACAGATCTGTACCTCTGAAACAAATAATGCAACATATGTTAAGAAAAAAGAAAAAGAAGAAGATAGCAGGAGGAGAAGAATGAAGGGGAGTAAGTTGGAGGGGGAGACGAACCATGAGAGACGATGGACTCTGAAAAACAAACCGAGGGTTCTAGAGGGGAGGGGTGTGGGGGATGGGTTAGCCTGGTGATGGGTATTAAAGAGGGCACGTTCTGCATGGGGCACTGGGTGTTATGCACAAACAATGAATCATGGAACACTACATCAAAAACTAATGATGTAATGTATGGTGATTAACAAAACAATAAAAAAAAAACCCATACCACCTCAAACCTGTCAGAATGGCTATTATCAAAAATACAAGAAACAACAGGTGTTGGCAGGGATGCGGAGAAAGGGGAACCCTCCTACACTGTTGGTGGGAATGCAGGCTGGTGAACCCACTCTGTAGAACAGTGTGGGGGTTCCTCAAACAACTAAATACAGAACTTCTGTGTGGTCTAGCAATCCGTCTTTTCGTTATTTATCCAGAGGAAATGAGATCCCTACCTGGAAGGATACCTGTACGCCCACGTTCATTGCAGCATTATTCACAATAGCCCTTCCACTTAACATTCCTCCAGGAGCAATGACTTTTTTGAAACAATTTTAATGACTAAGTAACATTTCATTGCATTTATATACATTTAACTGATTCATCCTTTTGAACTCAGATGTGTTCAATAATTTTCCCCTTATAGATAACACTGTTACAAATATCTTCGGATGTGAATATTTGTGCTTCTAATTATTCCCTTAGTGTACTTTCCTAAAAACTAAAATTCCTAGATCAAAAGGTCAACGGTCCACATCTGTCTTGATTGACAAGTTTATTCAAAGAAGCCTGCCACTTAACTCCCTGGGACTCGTGTCTGTGGGTCCCCCCCACCAAGGCCTCGGCAGCGCGAATCTTCCTGGACGCAGGCAGGCTTTTCTTTGGGGCCTCAGAGAGTTACTGGACGTGTGGGGAAGTTGCCTTAGTCCCTCAAGACTGTTGATTTCTAGGATTACGTGGCTTCAGAGAGAAATGACTTACTGCCCGTGAAGAAGGCTTCCTGACCCCTTGCCTCTAGGAATCAGAAAGGCAAATGCCATCAACACTGAGCCGTGTCACCCGAGCCATCCAGAATACACTGTTTTTTTATCATTACAGCAATGGACTCTGCTTCATTTCGGGTGCAGGGTGATGTCCTGTGTGCTGTTTGCTACAAAGGATTTATCAGGAAAAAACATCCCTGCCAGGTAAAATACGCCGTGCAGCTGGAACCAGAAATCAGAAGGAAACTGGGAAAGATACTGGAAACTTCTCCACCTCCTCTTTGCCGGATGCTGAGTATGGGTCCTACTTGTCAGATGACCCTAAGGAACGAATTCCATGCCCACCCCACTCCATTCCCTTCCCTAGTGCAGGTGCGCACACAGCCTGGCCCAGCACAGCTGCTGAGGGGCTCCTCGCCCCCAGCTCTCCCCTCCTGCCCCTCGCTCGGCTCTGCCCGCCGGAGGCCCTTCTCCGCTGGACTTCCCACGCCGCGCCCGTCCACACAACCCCGCTGTGCTCAGTCCGTGGTACTATCACTGTGGTACCCTTCCTGGGAGGCACCCAGAAAGCACGTCCTACGCACGGGAGCCCCTGTCACGCCTGTGTGCTCTAGAACATTCTCGAACGTGGGCATGTGAAGGTGGCCCCCTTTTCTCCCATCCCTCTGGAAGAGTTCCTAATCTTTCCACAGCATGCAATGCAAGTTTTTCCACTCGGGTATCAGCCCTGGCAGCTTCAATTTTTAAGAAGTCTCTCATTTTGCCAAAGAGAATTCATCAGAGCAAATAGCTGTTTCTTTTCTGTCATGTTACATGAAAGTGTGGGCAGAACCAGGCAGAGGGAGCCGTCCGACCCATACTTGGAAGGCTCAAACCACCGGCCCAAAGGAAACAAGAAACTGTCTTTCAGGGGTGCCTGGCCAGCTCAGTTGGTGGAGCGTGTACTCTTGATGTCAGGGTTGTGAGTTCAAGGCCCACACTGGGTATAGAGATGACTTAAAAAAAAGAAACTTAAAAAAAGAAATTGTCTTTCATAGAGACAGAGACAGAGTTAGAGAGATAAAGACAGAGATAGAGAGACATGGAGATAGAGAGACAGAGATGGAGACAGAGACAGAGACACAGGGAGATTTAGAACACACATGATTACACACACATAGGCGCACACACATAGGCATGTCTGTGCATGTGAGGTCTGGGTGGCGTCCCAGCTTTGCAGAACGGTACCAGCTGGGGCCGAGGTTCAGTACTGCACCGAATTTCAGCCAGTCACAGGCAACAGGAGACAAACCAGCTGCTCTTCTGGAAACTGCACCTTCCGCACGCTCACAGCTGAAACAGGGTCAGTCCGTGGGGCGAAACCAGAAGAGGAACGGAAGCCTCAGGCCTGGAGGTCCCCGAGCCCAGGGGGCCATGCCCACGGCCAGCTCCTCTGTCATTCAGAACCCCACCTGGTTCAGGGACTCCACTCTCTCCTCCCTGCGTATCATCTGCCATTAGCACACTCCTGCTGAAGCGATTCTATTCTGACAGGGAGACCCATCAGGGAATGGTCAGGACACCTTATCTTGCAAGAGGCTGAAACCCAAAAGTCCAGATGTGAACATCAGGAATTGCTGGATCCAGGTGCTCAGTATCATCTGGAAATTTGTCCCCGTCTTTGACTGCTGTCTGTGGGTAGGCCTCATTTCTAAGCTGCTTTTCTTCATTTGGCAGCAACAACGACCCCCTGAAGCTTGGGGCTCTCATGATGCTTTGCATGTAGGACCTCAGAAAAAGAGGGGATTCCCCTCAATAATTTTAGCAAATTTGGATATAACACATACTGGTCTTGCTAGGTTCAGCTGCCCATCTTGAACCACTCTCAGTGGTCAGGAAATGGAGAACCCTTGTAGGGTAGACCTAGCTTCTCTGCCTCCCCTAGACACACGGGGTAGGGGAAGCCCCATCCCAAGTACATGCTCAGCTGTCCCCCAGGTGCATGCTTTGGAGAAGAGCAAGGGGAGGCTGGACAGGCAGAGGAAGCAGGTGTCCCTACGGTTGTCAAGTCTGATTAGGAAGCAGGGGTGGGGGGACCACCCACTACTTCAGCGGGACAGTTGTACTTAGGTTTTCCTGACACACGTCACCCATTAGCACCGTGCTTCCCAAACCCTGTCTTCTTGGAAAAAGAACAAGCAAATTTAGCAACCCCACTCTAAGCCAGCACCGGCGTATGCAACACCCAGACACACGAGGCTCTCCTACTGAGGTGCTCCCTGCAGAAAGGGAAAGGCAGAGGTTTAATCAGACCTCCGAGGAAGTACTCAGGTGGGACCAGTCCTGGAGCAAGAGGCCCCGTAAGCAGCAGCTCTGACTCCGGTTGGGGGTGGGGCGCTGAGGACATTCGAATTGGCCTGACCTAGGAAAAGCAGCTCAGGGACAGCGAGCAGGTGCTCAGCCTGTAAGCAGGGGGAAGTGAACTCTATGCCCTCCACAAATCCGTCACAAATACGCGACATTCTGTACAGCACTGTAAGCAGAGACCTTGACCACTGGGGGCAATAATCTTTGTGACGAAGTCTCGAACACTCACCTGTAACACAGGACGTGTGTGGCAGGGGAGGGGGTGGAGGAGGGACGCTGGTGCCGAGGGGTCTCTGTGTCCCCCACAGGAGGTGAGGATCTGTGCCCCAACTCATCCTACATACACTGGGCCCCTGAAAGCACCCAGATGGCAGCGGGTGCCCCACTTCCAGAGGGTGTGCGGCCAGGTTGGCGGGGAAAGTCTTCCCTGAGGAGAAGTGGACGCAGATTCTCCCCCAAGGTGAGGGCGGCCATCACAGCTCATGTACATGGGCCTCACTGTCCTGGCCAGTACGACGCGCTGCTGGGCTGGCCCGGGTGTCACACGGAGGGAGAGCGGCCTTCCTTCAGTGCATGCCCGGGGCGCATGAGGCTCACCAGCGACCAGACCCAAGGACGGGCCTCCCTCAGCGCACAAGCACATTGGACCAGAGAGAAAGGTTTGGGGCTGTGCATGCCTATTTCTTTAAGCTTTTAAGAAAAGGGATACGTCATGGCTGATCGCACTAAAAACAGGCTATTTCTGGCATATTCACTCTGAACACCGCCTGACATGACCAATTTTTGGATTGTACAGAGCTTCTTTCTGCAGAATGTCATCTCAGTGCCTTCTGCGCTCCGTCAGCCCTAAAATTACTGTCCCTATTCATGCAGTGTATTCTCCCTGCACAAAGCATTCATAACTCCCATCAGCACAGATGGGGCTTTGGAGTCAGAAGCAGGGGTGAGGGGAAGAAAGCTTTCTAACTGTAGGATAAAGAGCTTCCTTAAAAAAAATCCACAGTGGTAATGAAGGCCTGAAACTATTCTGTGCCTTTTCACCTAAGATCCCTTCAAGTAACTGATTCTTTCTGTGGTGGTGATGACAGCTGCATAATTGCTAAGAAACCTGCTAAAAATGAATCTGATTCAACTTCATGTTTCCTGTGGCTCGGAGCATGGATCATTCTAGTACTTCTTCCTCCAGCTCTGCTCCCACCACATCCCTGGTCTCCCGTTGGGACTTCCTGACTGACGGTACCACCATCCTGCCCACCCACCGGCCCTGGGTTCCTCTCACCGTGCACATCGACCACTCAGGGCCTCCTTCCTCTCCCCGTTGTTTCTAAGAACCATGTTCCAACGCCCCAGCACACTCCTGGCTTCTTGCCCACAGGCGTCTGATGGAGCCGCTCGCCAGCACCTGGTGACAGCATGCATCTCTCTTCTCTGACAAGGCCCTCCCGCTCCATGTGCATGTCCTGTCTGTGGATGGCCTTCAGGACCAGCCCAGCCACTCACTCACTCACCCTGGCTGGAACACGAGTGACGTGTGCTGTCTCCTCCAGGCGGAGGGTGAGAACCGGCCTGGTGCCTGGCACAGGGAAGTGTGGGTTTGTCTCTCTTCCCTGCATGACTTTGCAAGCCCTTGGCCTCCTCAAGTCCATTCCACGCCCATGAAATTGAAAGGATGATGCTGGCCTCCCCTGTTTCTCAGAAGAGTTTGAGGACCAACCAAAGCTCTGGTCACCGACCACTTGTCATAACCGTGATAATGTCTCACTCACTTTCACATTTCCTTTGGGGCTCATTGCAACTGGGTACAAATGAAGGTGACAAACGTGTTTGCTAATGCACAAATCGCTTTATTTTTAGGCTACAACATCTCCATTGGAACATAATAACCACACTCTGTAAGCACTCACCAGTCACGAAGCCTGAGAGAACAGGTTTGTGCTGAAACCACATCAGCCCTCACCGTTCACAGGGGTGTCCTGGGGGCTCCTGAGGAAGGAGTAAACATGCACCCCGTCCATTGTTCACAAGAGGACTCGGCACTGCCTTGCCTGCACGCCTTCTCTGCACGGGGGATGGAGGAAGCATCTGAAAGATAAGGCAGGAAAGGTGAGGGCAGCAGATAAATTAAGGACATTACTATTTTACAGTCTGTATGAGTCAGCTCGGCCGCCACAACAACGTAGCACAGACAGCGGCCTAAACCACAGACCTGCCCCTCTGATGTCCTGGAGGTGGGAAGCCTGAGCTCCAGGCCTGGGCCGGTTCCTCCTGAGACCTCTCCCTGCCCTGCAGACACGGCTCTCCCGGGTCCTCCCCTCCTCTTGTTACAAGGACATGGGCCCTGCTGCGTTAGCGCCAGGCTGGTGGCCTCCATTTACCCTAACCACCCCTTTAAAGGCCCTCTTTCCATAGGGCACGTGGGTGGCTCAGTTGTTAGGTGTCTGCCTTGGGCTCAAGTCATGATCCCAGGGTCCTGGGATCGAGCCCCACGTTGGGCTCCCTGCTCAGCGGGGAGTCTTCTTCTCCCTCTCCCACTGCTGCGTGCTCTCTCTCTGACAAATAAATAAATTGGCCCTCCTTCCAAACACAGTCACCTTCTGAGGTTTTGAGGGTTAGGGTCTCAGCATATGAATTCAGTCCAGAATACTGTCCAAATATCTCAGCCTTTTAGAAACGAGTGTGGCTGTGTGGACCTCTAGCAGCAGACACGCCGAGATAAAAAGGCTGAACTTTCGTGCCTACAGGTTGATGTACATTTTCGGTGAGGTTTACAACCTGGGGTCCTCAGACTCACAAGGATTTTCATGTGCGGGCTGAGCCATCCCCCTGGGACGGATGGAGTGGCTTGGCACCGGGGGTGTCGCCCTAAGAGTTTCCTGGTGCACCTGTACCCTGTGTGCGCGTGTGAGTGTGCGTGTGCGCGTGTGCTGGGGCGCAGCAGGTGGTGTCTGGAGACAGGACTACGAAGCAGGAAGGAAGAGGGAAGCAGGACAGATTAGTGTCTGAATTCATTCGTCGTTTCCATGGATACACCCTGAGTACACAGACTTCTGGTTGGGGGCTGTGGCCCTTGCAGACCCCTCCACAGAGGAAACGCCGGGGACTCATGGGAGGATGGAAACAGAATGTAGTCAGACAAGACGCAAAAGACGCCAACGTAATTCATACACGCGCAGATAAACTTGCTTTTCGTTTTCAAACCTTAGATATGTCAAAGGACATTCATTCTGCTTGTCATTTTGTCACTTCAAGTCAATTTGTGCTTGCCTTCTCCGGTTTTTGTTTGTTTCTGACATGCTACTTAAATCCGTCCTGAATCAGCTTGCCCTCTAGTTCCTTCTCTTGGAAACCTCTCCCTGCAATGGATCTTGTCTTTGTTTAACAACAGGCAAAAAGGCAAGCTGTTAAAATGTCAGCATGTGTCTTGTCTCCTTAACATTTCTGACTCTAATATTAGAGCATCCTTCCTTCAAACCCTCAAAAGCACAGAGAAATGAGCGTCCGGTGTACCCTCGTGGTTGGACCAGGAATGTCTGGGTGGCCAGCTGGCGCTGAGGACCACCTGGCGCACCTCCCCTCTTCGCGTAGTCAGCTTCAGACAGGACCCGTCGAGGCCGTTTGGTCCTCCAGAGACCGTCGGCTGGGAAAACACATCTGCACAGAATGCACGTTCCCTTGAAGTAGAATCTGAATTTCTCTCCAGAGTTTGCTTTTCCGAGCCTCCCTCTTGGCATGGAGTGCCGGGACCATGGTTCTTGTGCAGTCTGTGCACCCAGGGACGCGGGCATGCTGCTGGGAAGGCTGCCCTGGGCCCGGCTCCTCCCTCCCCTTGGGCAGAGAATCCCGGATGGAGTTGATCTGCTAATGCCCAGACTGAGCGAGATGTTCCTCCAAATGACTCCAGAGTTGAGGCTCACGGTAACATCTGGGACACAGCCCTGTGCTAGCAAGGCGTGGGGCACATGCAGGTGGGTGTATCTGAGGCTGGACCCCACCATCTA